CACGCACACGCACACACGCCCGCGTACTCTCTCTCTCTCTCTCACACACACACATACACACACGCACTCTCTCTCTCCCTCTCTCTCTCTCACACACACACACATGCACACTCTCTCTCTCTCTCTCTCCCTCTCTCTCTCTCTCACACACACACACACACACACACGCACACACACACACACACACACACGCACACACACACACACACACACACACACACACACATCCATTCTCCTGTCTATTGATGGGGAGCGCCACCTGCTGGAAACTGGGTCCAGCGTCCCACGAACATCGTGAATAAAGCATCAACCGGGACCCCACACACACACTCTCTTTGAGTTGTGTATAGCGAACATCACAAAACATACATGCAGCATATTCACTACCTTACCCTTCCTGAACCACATCAACAAACGAACTACGGGCTGCGCACCCGTGCCCTCACGGTAAGTCAATAGGGTATTTGGCCAACATGGGTGTGGGGTGTAAGCATGAGCGGGTTGTGCGTCGTGTGTGGGAAATAGGGGGTGGGGACGACAAGGCACAGGTACTGGCAAAATGCTACCGGTATCAGTAGGGTCTTTGCATTAGCCACAGACCGCCACTGGCAGCCCCAACCCTGCACCCTGAACCACTTGGGCAAGGAGCAACGTGCAATATCCCCTTCATTGTGACAGGTAGCTATGCCTACATAGCCTTAGGAGCAGTGGTAGGAAGATAGTGGAACGGAAAAAAAATTGAGGTAAGAATACGGTGCAGTCAAAGAAAAGAGGGAAGCCTTTGGTTTCTTTTTCATTCGAATGGTCCTAGCAGTCTTCCTTCCCATCTTCCTCTTTAGGTGCCCTGCCAGGAAGGCAGGGCATTTTTCAACGGTTCTGGTCAGCCTTTTCCATTTAACTCTAACCACCTGATAGTAAGTGAGTGCTAACTCTTCCAGTTTGTCAGAGTTTCAAAGCCGCCAGATTCAAGATCTAGCAGCCCATCTCTACTTCGAGTGGTATCTGTTAGTTTTCTCCGACTTCTCAGGTAGCCCGTTTCTCTCAGAGCACACTTACAGTAGGACTTGGGTGCACGTATCTACCTGGGAAACCAGGCTGAATGCATCAAGGGGGATGCCAGAGGGGGCGAGCAGCCCCCAACCAGTTACTCACATGCCTGTCAGCAGGGCCAGTCTTTCTGGAAGCAGAGGAATTACGTTTTGTTTCCATCTTGAGAAGAAAACATCCCCTGGACCAGTGCGAATTCTTTTTTACACTTGTTTCTCTTCTTCTTCCTAGTTCGTCAGTGGCCCAGCAAGGCCCAGTATCTATTTGCATCCACCTGAGTCTGGCACTTGAACCCACCCACGTACAGGAGCCCCACGCGGCCCAGTACCTATTTGCATTCACCTGTGTGTGGCACTCCAACCCAGCCAGGTGCGGGGGCTGTTCCAAGCCATTTTTTCAAAGTCACTGCCGCAGCTTTCGGGGCTCTACCCCCGGAGCAAAATGGGTGGCGGCACCAGCCAAACAGAGGCCCGCACCGTACAGGCTGGAACTTCTGGGACTAGGCCGCTGTAGCAAAATGGCTGATGGCGCCAACCAAGTGGAGGGCCAGGCCAATTCATTTTCGTATGGAGGGCCAGGCCAATTCATTTTCTTTGGGTGCGTTTCCCAGCCCTGCAGAAATGTGCGTCGGAAGTACCGGTGATTCCATCTGGCCTCGAACTGGTGATTCCATCTGTATATTTCAACAGTTCATGGATGTACCAACTACCGGTAGGCCCACTCGCCCCCAACATTACCGTCATCATCGTCCTCTTCTTTACACAAGTTTTCCCTCTACCACTACGTCTAATCCACCACCTCCACAGTTTTTTCTTACGCAACCAACTCCCCTCCCAGGCTGCTGCATGTACTCCACTCTTCCCTCTCCATGAATTCCCGGCCCCGGAGAGAAGTGCCTCTGAAGTCCCAGTGATTCCATCTGGTTTCGACCTGGGTTCTCTATTCATGGATGTACCAACTAGGCCCGCTAGGTGCCTCGGAAACACTGGTGATTCCATCTGGATTCGAACTGGGTTCTGTATTTCAACCAGTTCATGGATGTACCACCTAGGCGCGCTAGCCCCCAACATTACCATCATCATCGTCCTCCTATTCTTTACACAAAATTTCCCTCTACCACTACATCTACTAATCCAATACCTCCACACTTCTTCTTCTACAATCAACTCCCCTCCCGGGCTGCTGCATGTACTCCACTCTTCCATCTCCATGAAAACCGACGTTCCTGATCATCTACCCTCTTCAGTTTCCTCTCTACTCTTTACCTTCACACGTTGCAGTCCCTGACCCTCTCTGCACTCCTCGTCTTTCCTCTCCGTCCACGATCTTCAGCTGCCTGCCTTCCCCATCTCCACCATACCTTCCTCACGTGCGTAGTATCCTGCCGCTTCCCGTTACAGTCCTCATCACGCACAACGCTTTATCGTTATCGTTATCCTGCTCACTCCACTCCCTACATTCGGGCAAAGACAAAAGTCATGGCGGTGTGTGTGTACCTTCCCATGTTCTACCGGGCGGGAGAGTCATTTTTTAGTTGCACATTTGGTCATTGGTGGAACGAGGCCCTAACTCTCGTCCGCATTTTCTTCTTCATCATCACCATCGTAGCATTTCTTTTCCCGCTCCTCCGCATTCTCCTCATCATCCCCATTGTCCTTACGTATCGCACTTCACTCAAAAAAAATGAGGTTTCCTCAGAGATGGGCGCTGGCAATTGCAAGTGTAATTCCAACCTAGTGGCCGAGGTCTGCAACACGACAGCTTGCGCACACCTACCGCAGTCCATCTCTTCCCCGTCCCCTCCCTTCCCCAAATTTCCGACCGTCTCAAAACTCGTGCGGGCTTTGGCAGTAACGACATGCACACCCATCGCAATCCACATCTCCCTCTCGCTCTCCTTCCCCCAGCTCCCCGCTACACGATACGTCATGCACACCTACCTACCCCGATTTCCCACCATTTCCTTCCCCCCAATTTCCCGCCA